GTGGCCGCGGACTGTCAGCGATCTGCTGTCGATGGCCTTCGTCCTGACCATCGCGCCCCTCTTGTACTGGTTCGGGTTGTGGGTCGTCCTGCCAGGACTGTACGGGGACGAGAAGCTGGCGTACACCCTCCACTTCGCCCTCGGCAGCTTCATCATGCTGAATATCGTTGGTAACTTCACGTACACGGTGCTGTGCGACACCAGCACCGACGGCGGCGGCCGAATCGTGCCGGTGAGCACCGCCCGGGCGGCGGACGGCTGGCGGCTGTGCCCTGCCTGCGAGTGCCTGTCGCCGCCGCGCTCCTGGCACTGCAACGTTTGCGACACCTGCATCCTGAAGCGCGACCACCACTGCGTGTTCACCGGCTGCTGCGTGGGCTACTACAATCACCGGTACTTTGTCATGTTCCTGTGGTACCTGTTCCTCGGCGCGGCGTACGCCTTCTGCTACGGTAGCCTCTTCATCTGGACCAGGATACCCTTCGAGTTCCCGATGTCGATCGTCAAGATGGTCTTCCCCGTGGCGATCTTCTTCTTCGGCTTCGACAGCTCCATCGATCAGTTCTACCTGTTGCTGTACGTCGTCTCGGCGGTGGGCACTTTGTACACCGGGGTGTTGTGCGTTTATCACTTTAGTTTGATTCTCAGGGGCGTTGTGGGCGACGAGAGCAATAAGAAGGATTTTAGGTACGACTTGGGCTGGAGAGATAACATCAGGGAGGTATTTGGAGAACGGTGGTATCTGATGTGGCTGCTTCCTTATATTAAGTCACAGTTGCCCCACGATGGAGTGACATGGCATCACTTGTGTTCGAAGAAGGATTGAGTTACTTCAACCGACTGTTGTGATTCTTTTTTAAACTATGAAGTGCGTTGGAAACATTTGTTGTCTGTATGTTAAAAGTATCGAAGATACTTCTGATGGCCAAAGAATAAATTTAACTGCTAGAAAGATTACGCTTTTTTAATCAAAGGACACTAATTGAAGCAATTAATAAACAATGTACGCTTTTTCAATTAAAAGACAGTAATCGAAGTAATTAATTAATGAATAATCTACTGTAATTCAAAGTGTATCATCTATTCTGTATCGTAGTTGTAAACAAGATTTCTATCAAATAGGCAGTATTATATAATTTTATTTAATTATATATATAAATCATTGTATTGTGTAACAATATGTGCAATAGTTACTTGTAAGTTAGGATAGTAGTGTATGAATGGAAGGATGAATGGTTATTTGTAAACCAAGTCCACTTCTTGGCTATGTAGCTGAAGTTAATAATAAATATATATAATATAAATCATTGTATATTTCTTTGGCACACATTTTTTAAGTTACATTAATATTAATTTGTTTCTCTTGTGTTAAAGCTGAATGAACGCTCGAAAAACTCCCCAAGTTTCTTCTTATTTTCTTAATTGTCTGATACTTTATTTTTTGAAGAAAACTTAGATTTTAAATACTTTCTAAAGCGTGTCAATTGTTACTGTTTTTAAACACAATAGAATATTTAATGGCCACAGTAACGCGCATAAAATCATGTGCATTTTTAACAATTTTTTTTGTATAAAAAAATTATTTATAAAACCAATTACAGGGCTGTTAAATGTAATAATAAAGCTATAAAAAATTTTTTTTTTTTGTATTTTAGAAAAGTTGAATTTTTAGTTGAAAAATTTCGTATAAAACTGCTCATAAAATGAAAAGTTTTTAATTAATCGAAAATCCCCTACGTACTTCTTTCAATATTTTTATTTTATTTTGTTCTAGGTCATAAATTGCGGACATTTGTCACGCCGCGAAAAAAAAGACGTTAAAAAAGCAACTGGCTGTAGTCGGGCATTTTGTGGCAGAAAAAATACGAAAAAAAATTTTTTTTTACAGCTTTATTATTACATTTAACAGCTCTGTAATTGGTTTTATAAATAAATTATTTTTTCATACAAAAAAAATTGTTAAAAATGCACATGATTTTATGCGCGCTACTGTGGCTATACCCCTTAATTGTATAATTATATATTCAATTGTACATTTTAATTTAATTGTATATTTTATTAGAAAACTGTACATAAGAAAGACAATGGCTTATAATATACATAATCAGTGGAAGTAATTTTTCTTAAGTGCCTATTTACAAATAATCAACAAAAGATCGACTTTCATCGGCGTACAGACATTTGTGACTTATATCACAACCGTCTTTTATATGAATTCTCTGATTAATCTTTCAAGTTTGCAATTTGACATCTCATTTGCTTAATATCTAATTAAATGTTAACAGTTATATGTATGTATGATTCTTTTCTTCATCTGAATATCTGCCGGTTTCCCTAAACAGTATAAAGTTTTTCATGTAAAAGTGTAAAAGATCTAAAAAGTGTTTAAAAAAAGGTGCATGCAAACATTTCAGGAAGCGTGTTGCTATGGAATAAAATAGTAGAAGAATACTATCTTTCATCTAATATCTTATGGTAATTAATTGATTGTGTTATACTGTTTAGGGTTTTTTTTCGATGCAATACATAATAATAATGATGTGACTCCGACAGAAAATCATTTTAGTCACGTCGCTGAGCACTCGCGGTACATATATTATTTATAATGACGTACGGTTTCATGAGGATTATAAATGCACTCTTTGACGTTCCAGCAAAATGAGAGCATTACTCCGTATATATAGTGATATTAAATAATCAAATGTACTTTATGAATGTACTTTTTTACTTGATCCACATTCTTATCTTGTCACCTGTATATATTATCAGACATACATCTATACTTCTATATCTTTTACAAGATAATACGAATCTCTGAATAAAAATCTCATAGAAACCGATAATAAAGATATATTCTTTGGATGAGTTCAAGGCAAATGTTACAAAGCAAGATCGCTAATTCAACTTGGGGGAAAATTTTATAACTATTCGGCAATTCAATCTTGGAAAAAAAAAAAAAAAACGTGAAAGAATATATCGTTGATCCCTGCTTTGGAAATATTCTATACAAAATGCATGCTATTTTTGCCAGTAGAAAAATGCTAATTGACATAATCTACATTAAATTATCTGATTCCAACCATCTTGCTTGGAATCGAGTAAATGCTTTTCGATTCATTTCAATTCATTTTGATTAGTTGATTACTATCGTTTCGCTACTGGCGTCACTATTTTAATGCAGAAAAATTCTTAAATTACATTTGCCCAGATGCAAATTCGACTTTCATCGCCGTTGGAATGATCGTTATATAGTTGGAAGATATCACAACCCAAAGATTTGAGATGTACCGTTCTCTTGATTGAAACTCAAGTGCCTGAGTGATGCTTGCTGGTCCAGGAACGTTACGTGATTGCGCGCGCATAGAGTATAAGCGCCAAAATAAAAAACAAAATTATACTTTAGGCAATAAATTAATGTGACCTTTCTTTTTATATGTCCTCTTAACGGCGAACTTGATACATACTAACACGAGTATTGCAGCCGAAGTAACGTATAACACCACACAGATGCTGATGTCAAATATATTCAAGTCCCAACCGAAAGCTGTAGCGCGCTTCGTCGTCTCCTTGGCGAGTCTCTGCGGCCTCACTCTCGAGCCGTTGCCATTCGTCATGCCCGTGTCACCGGCATCGCTGATCCCGTCGAACTTGATGCTGTTGTAGCTGTATTTGAATTTTAGGTACCGTAAAACCTCCTCCTCATTCCAGCTATTGTTAACGTGTCTACACGTCGGGCAGTGTTTGGCCGCGGGATACTGTATCTTCCTGTGCTCGGGATCCTCCGTATCGTCGCCCGACAGTCGAGCGTTTACCTGATTGTGTGCCCGCCACAACCAGAGCACGGCCTCGTCTTTGGTGCGCACGTCGAATATCTTGTTCGTGCCGGCCATCTCCACGAAATGCGCGGTACAGTCGGCGCAGCCGAAGAAGGTCCCGATGTAGCCGTGCATCGCTCGCAGCACCGCCGCGGGATCCTGCGAGAAAGTCTGAGTAACAAACGGTTTGTTGTGCTCCAGCGCGAAGTTTACGGTCAACATGTGAAACATGGTCCACAATCCGCAGGGATATCCGCGATACGAATCCGTGCTACCCTTGCATCCTATCCACTGACGGGGCGCGCCCGAGTACACCGGCGACATTTCCTCCTCCGTCGTCTTCGCCAGCTGGCTGAACTCCTCGCCGGTCATCGCGTTCTTCTTCTCGACGACGTCGCGTATTATCTCCAGATACGCGTTATGACGTCGTAGAGGAAAGTACGCCGCTAACACCGCGAGATACTTGTGTAACGCCTCCATTTTCTCACCGTCTATCGACTTCATCAAGGATATCTCATGATTGATCGAGTAACGCAGCGCACTCTCCAGATCGAGTTGATACAAATAATCACCGGTCTTTTTCGACATTTCTAGTTGTTCCTCCACCACTTCGTAACCCTTCGCAACCGTTGAGCTTCTTGTTCGATGCGTGTTCTCCGCATTTTGCACAGTGCCACGAGACACTGTCGTACCTACTTCGTCGATATTTACTCCTCTTGCAATCAAGTAATCTTTGATAGCTCGTCGAACTCCCTGCCTCGTTGGTATTCTCACGCTGACGACCCTTTGCGATTCATTGCGTCCGAAAGCTATCAAGGTTGGGAACTTGGTAACCTTGTTCATCAAGCAAAGTAGTTCGTTGTCGGAGGTCACCCTACGTATCTGTAAGCTGCTGATTTTGTGAAGATCAAGAATAACTTCCGCGCCCAGGAGTGAATCCGTGCTCTCGAAAATGAGGAAGAAATGCTTTACATTGCTAGATGCTGTTTTCCAAATGTCCGTTATTTCGACATTCCTGCGAACAAATATGATGTATTAACATATTTTTTGTTACGCAAAAATAGGGAAAAATTTAATCTCTTGACTTATTCACAGACAATCGCTAAAGAAAAAATTCTTTTTTGAAAAGATTGAGCTTGTCTTATTCACAAACATTAAATTGTCATAAATCTGAGAATATATATCTAAAATCTAATAAATCTAAAGCAACTACAAATAAGTTTTATAGCATGCCTTTAAATTGTGAATTATATAAATAATTTTAGAAAAAATACAAACAATTATGGATTACACACGTATGTGGAGAACAAAAATCATTTTGCTTAGTCGTAACAAGAAAATATCTACGAATTAGCTGTGAAAAATTTATGATATACCTATATGGCGCAATGTTAGGCCATGTAGATCCTCGTCCTTCCTGTTGTTCCGTTTCGAGCCTGCTAATTAAATTGTGTCTCACCGTATCAATGCTGTCCCCCTTTTCTATTACTATACCCAAGGACGGTGGGTGTGCGTTTATAGAGAAATATTTCAGCATTGGATAGTGCATAATCTCGTACTCGCGACAGATTGGATTGTTGTCGTCATCGGCACAATCTATAGCCGCGACAACGACGATATCATTCCAAGCTGAAACATTGTAACTAATTATTATGTATATACATATACATAAATAAGGGAATCAAAAGTGAGCGAATGATTTTGTCAACGCCATTTTCTATTCTGACCAAATTAATTCTTGGAGAAAATCACTTAAATATGTAATTTAATAAATTGTTTATATATACAATTTTTTTTACAATTAATTAAATAACTTACATAGAATGTCGCTCGCCAAAGCCTTCCACGTCGGTGCGAATCTGTAACAAAAGCCGCACCAGCTGTTGTAAAACTCGACTAGCCAGCTCCTGGTACTTCCATAAACGTTTGCCTTGAAATTTGTGGCATTGAGTATCACTACATCGTCACTGGCGTTATACAAGCCTTGACCACCTAGCATAATCAGACTTTGATCCAGATTCTTATGAGGTACTACAGCTGCGCTGCTCCAGCTTATCGTTAGAACGTTGAGTAGGCACAACCTCAGTATAATCCCCGTTATCTCTAGCTGCTGCATCTTGTGTCTCCAATAATTAACATTAGAACTCAGCAACTCCCCTTTTTCTATAATTGTGCAATGTTGGTTGATCATTAGAATAATATATTAAATGATATATTAAATGTCATTTTAACATCGCATATATCAACTTTGATATGCATTATATGGAGCTCTCGTTACATTTGGCAGTTTTACTATTCCCTAACTTTACAATTTTCTTAAAAAAAAAAAAAAAAAATAATAATAATAATAATACTCCAAGAATTGTTTGTAATTGAAAATAAAAATCTCACAATGTAATACTCAAAATATTATTTCCCATTGTTATCTATGCACTATTTACTCTTCTGTTTTTTTTTTAATTCCATTTCCAACAAACTATATTTCAGGAGGAAAAAATACTCCTCGACTAATTCTAGTTCAAAAATTTTAATTCTAAATGGCAAAGATAAAAAAAGTAAGATCATCAACTGCTGATTGAAAGAACAGTCGGTGATTCTGCAACATCTCGAACACATGTCACTTTCAAAAATAATTAAATACAAAATTTGCTTTCCAAGGACTAACGTAAGTTGAATTTTAGATAAAATTAAAAGAATCCACTGGACTTTCCCATATGGGAATTCCATACATAAATTCGAGTTCTACATAAAACGGAAAAAATCCGTGACATTCCGTAGGACTTACACAATTCGAATTTCGTGCGAGAGAAAGCCGACACTGAGACAAATTGCAAGTAATGTTATTTTATAATATGCGATACAACGTGCCGATAGATTGCCTCCGATTACATGAAAAAGAAAAAAAAGATATTGTATGGATACAGCACCTTTCTACGTGTTATCTCTACATACCTCTCGACAGATACGTTCCCAGTCGGCTGACACGTCGAGCGATATGAGACCATTGAGACCTCGTCGGTTCCACCTCAACATTAGAGGGAGTAATTTCTTAATTTAGTAATTTACATTGATGTACATGGTATGTACATCTAATGTTGAGGTGGACCGACGAGGTCTCATATCGCTCGACGTGTCAGCCGACTGGGAACGTATCTGTCGAGAGGTACGAGATAACACGTAGAAAGATGCTGTATCCATATATCTTGTTTTTTTTTTCATGTAATCGGAGGCAATCTATCGGCACGTTGTATCACATATTATAAAATAATTATTGGCAATTTGTCTCAGAGTGTTGGCTTATTCCCTCGCACGAAATTCGAATTGTATAAGTCTCTTGCGGAATGTCTGGCGAATTTTTTCCGTTTTTACGTAGACGTAGAACTCGAATTTATGTAATTCCCGTACATACCGATGGTACATACCGATCACGACATTCACGACGTGATCAAACATAACCTAACCTAACGGGCGTAATGCCTAATTTGCACTGGCCGCAGTGGCCGCGACTGACGTGCGAGTGTTGGTGATCATTATAACTGCGCTACGTTACACTTTCTGCACTCTGAAATGAGATAGACACGCGATTAGTTGTCGGTTGAGAAAAGGAAGATAAGAGAAAAAGAGAAATTCAGCTGCAGAGAACTGATTGTAGGTTTGTTCTTTGTACCTGCTCTGTCTTGCACTTCTCGAAATGAAATAGAAAATATAAATAATATAATTAGACGAAGAGAAGAAGAAAGTTGAAGAGTACAAAGGTTTCAGCTACAAAGTGGGTGTATTAATAAACAAACATCGTGAGGTAGGATAAGAAAATTAAATATTTTTGTATAATACTTCACAGAATTTTAACTTTTCTATATTTATTGCGGTGTTTTTTGCAGGAGTGATTGATGTCAAACCCTATACAAATCCCAGTAGAGTGAAATGACGGTGGAGCTTTTGTAAGAACGATTAGAATTTATTGATTGCTGTTACACGTAGCAATCGTCACGTCTTCATCGATCGTGAAAACGCGTGTCGTGTATCGCGATAAGGTTATCGAAGGCGAAAGGTGATAACGCTCGACGATCGTGCGCATCCGAAGAAACTAATCCTATAGCTTGGTCGTCGTTTACGGCCACGTTTTCCATAAAGAATGACAGTTGTAAGTTTGGACATTCGCTATAAAAAGCGTCGTATTTTTTTGCATTTGAGGTTATACGCTTTGTTTTGATTAGAAGTGAAATATTTCGGATCTTGTTCGATCATTCTATCTGTTGCTCTGGTTGCTCAGATTGCGTTTTTGTTATTTCAGGAATTGAAGAAGTTTCTTTACGGACTGCTGACCGACGTAGAAGGTTTGCACAGCATATTAATTACGGACAGGGACGGAGTGCCTGTTATATCCGTAGCTAACGAAAAGGCACCAGAGTTAGCTACGAGAGCCAGTTTTTTATCCACTTTCGGAATGGCTACGGATCAGGGAAGTAAACTGGGACTTGGCAAAAATAAAACCGTTATATGCATGTACAGTAATTACCAGGTAAGATGCGCGAGACAAAAGTATGAAATAAATTTTAAAATTAATGTATTACTCGTATATGTTGTCTATTTGATGAAATTGTTTTTGCAGTTAAGACTCTTCTTTATTTTCTTTTCAGGTAATCCAGATGAATAAGTTGCCATTGGTTGTTAGTTTTATCGCTAGTCACAGTTGCAACACTGGCCATGTATTGTCGCTGGAGAACAAGATTGACCCCATTTTAAGTAGTTTAAAAAATGCAGTGGTGGAAGCCTGATGGTTACTCGTTGTTCATTATGGGTGATAAATGCTGAACACTTCAGAATCTGTGAATTGTTGCAAATACTGCATAAACAGTGTCTCTTTTTTTTATTTTTTTTAAGAATGACGTTTTCACGTTTTTACGTGCTTGCATTTGTTCATAATGTTGCAAGTGTGCTTTGAAAAGTAATTATTATATAATATTCTGATGTAAGAACTTATTACAGAGAAGGTTTGTTTTTTTTTTAGAAATTCAGAGATTTATACTTAGAGCTAGAATATTATTTATTTGTTTAAAAGAATACTACCGTGATATCTTTTATGAGACTTCAAAAAACATCTAAATATACTAACGCCGTTGTACAATTTTTGAAGATATCCTACGTAGCATTATTCATATAAAACCATTTCAATGTAACAATAAATAAATTAATTGGATTTGATAAGCAAGATTTTCAAAAATATGTAGAGAAAATTCATTTTATATACCAATAAAAATGTTTACTTTACACAAAATACATACCAGTTTCTATGAAATCGTTTCTATTAAATCTATGAGGCAGAACAATTATACAGATGCATATACTTTGCTGGATTATTTACGGTTTACGCATATCATTAAGATGCCTGTGTTAGTTGCGTATGTCATTAATGTCGGTCATCTTTCTGTACATTAATCTGATGGTGCAACTAATTTTTTTTTCACATACGCAAAATGGCAAAAAAGTGCCAGTTTGCTATCATACTTTTCTTTAATTCAACTTATTATATTTTATACTAATTGGGAATTTATAAGAGACTTATAAAACTTCCTTCAACCATAATTATCTGTATATGGTATTACAAATTACATGAAAATTTCTGGCGCGTTATTACAGCGCAAATGCAAACGTGTTTAATCTCCTTTACTTGATCGCCTGACGGATATAATTAATTAATGATTATGAGATCAAATTGGGATTAGTCAAGTGATTATATTTGTGCAATTTGAAGAAGAATCAAAGAGAATCTTATTAAATCGTATGGTTAAAAAAACCATTGTTTCTAATAACATTTTTGAATAAATAAAATGACAAATATAATGCACAACGAAGATGGATTTAGGGTATAGCGTATACCAAGTCTTCGTTGTTAAGACCATTGATAATATTTTGCGCTGCGACTTTGGCCATGTCATTACGGGTTCTGGTCGTCGCGCTGCCTAAGTGTGGCACAATTTCTGTAATTACCAAAATATAAAATTGCTAATCTCTGATGCACTACATGTAAATTTTGATACAATATTAGATATATTATAGCATTACATTCCTTGAATTTTGAAATTGTAGAATTCCTAAGAGCATGATCGATTTTTTTTAATACTCAGTTTTGCGATATTCCGTGTTATAAGAAAAAATAACAAGAAAATGAAAATGATTATACCGACCAACATTACGTAGTGTTAGAAGTTTGTGTTTAGGTGGTAGCGGTTCCGGATCGGTGACGTCTAGTCCGGCAGCGAATATCTTCATCGTACAAAGAGCTCTCTCAAGTGCAGCGGTATCGACGATCTCACCGCGAGCCACGTTCACGAAGACGGGTTGCTTCTTCATTTTGTCAAAAGCGTTGTTGTTGAAACGTTTTCGGGTTCCATCATTCAGAGGTGCCGAAATCACGAGAAAATCGCTCTCGGCCAGAAACTTATCCCAAGTTACATAGTCCACTCCAAGTTCCTTTTCTGAATCATATATATTACTCATTTTAAAGGATTACTGCGTTGTGTAATTATTGGATCACGTGTTTGTAAAAAATTCATTCCAATAATAATCCTATAAATGCACTATTCAGATAAACGCAGAAGAAATTTTCACGAAGCAATTAAAGATATATTTATTATTGGAAATCTATTTAATTAACGAATCTAGATTCTTAGGAATTTCTATATTTTTAGATAAATACCTATAATAAAATTAATAAAAATATATATATTTTGATCTGTATTTCGCATATTGAACTCTTATAGGTATAAAATGTATGAAGTAAAATATATCGACAATGTAGAATATAGACATGTAGAACATTGAGACTGGAAAAAATATTATAGTCTCCTAATAAGTTGCGAGCGTACCTACTTTATCCTTCTTACGCGGTCCGGTATGGATAAATTTCCCTACTTCGAATGCCTTCAATCGTTTAACTATTTCTTGGCCGATATTTCCTAGGCCAAAGATGCCGACCGTAGAACCTCGTATATCTCGTCCCAGCAGCCACTGTGGTCCCGTACTTCTCTCACACCTTAATTATACGTAATGAATTGTATCATATATCTGATATATCTATTGCTATACTGTACAGTTTTTGATTATACGTATATAAGCAACCTGATAAAAGCTAGATGATAGAAGCAGACTCAATATATAATTTTTTTATAGACCATTTCGGCTAGATCTATACTTACATATCAATGCAATATAAACAGAATAAAAGAAATATACATGGAGAATATTTATCAAACGTACCAGAATGAGAACCGATATTCATTGAACAAGAATAACGCACTTTGATTATATCGATTATTTTTCTATCTAATGATCTAATATCTTATCGGACTTTTCAAGCAAGGATTTTTATATCAATTGAATTGTAATCTAAAATGAGTCAAAACAGTTACGCTTCCATCTTCTGGCGACCCTCATGGGCGCGCCTCGCCGCGGATAACAACAAGAGCACTGCCATTTCCGCGACTGCAGCGGACAGCACCTCCGGTGTGTGCCCGGCTTTAATTCCTCTTTCTTTAATTAATGTAGTATCTATGTGATCATATCCGGACGACATTGTCGATACGACCTTTAATTTTTTCCCTGAAAAAAAAAAAGAAAATCAAATTCGTTGATTTGCTTGATAAAATCTCGCAGTCACATTTTTTTACGCTTTAAAAGAAAAGATATGCATTCGCATATCGTGTATAAGTTCTATCGAGAAAAGCAATAAAAATGGATATTTACCGGCGGTATCGAGAAACTCCTTGTCAACTTTAACTTTGCTAGCGAGGAATACAGCATCGAAGCCCTGCTTAAGAGCTTCCAATATTTTTGGTCGAAATACATCTGCATTATAATTCTCTAGAATAGTGACTTCGCAGCTACATCAACAATAGTAAACGATGAGAGAGTAATCTGTATAATTTTCTTAAATATTCCAAATTTATTCAGACTTACTTGTGAGCCTTAAGCAAGTCGATGCCGGGCTTGGGCACCTCCTTGTGGTCCACCAAAACCTTCCATGGTTGACTCATTGCGCTGTTTAAATCAGGAAATTGAGAAATAATAATCGATTCGTCAAAACACGTGTTTGCAGATGCCACGGGCGCGTACTCACGTAATCTCTAAATATTTCTCCCTCCCGGCGATGAAAGTCCTCTATCAACTTAACTCAGTTTCAAGGATTCACCGTGTCGCACCGACTTTCAAACGGATTTAACAGACGTTTGTCTGATAACAGCGATGTAGGCTTCCATCGACTGCGACCTGCGACTTTCACGTATACTGCTCTCCGATATCTATGTCAAACACTCGACGGAGCGATGTTGTGCGGGCTCGATTAGATATACCAGTACTAACCGGTTTAGATATGACAACAAAACAAAGATAACGGTCAAAACTGAAGACGTTCCATTCCATCAAGGGTTGTCAAGGATATATATTGAATACATAGTTACATAACATAATTCACAAGCTATTAGGGAATTACTCATTGAAGTTAACCGCGAGTAGCGGTGCGAAGGACGCGTGAAGAATTAGCACAGTTTTCATCTTTTTCTCTCCAACATGAAAATAAATTAAAAAGAGGAAAGATAAACTATGCAAGTTCAGCTAAAACGAAACAGGCCTATTGTCAAAGTTAATCAGAATATGTCCTGATATTCCGATAAAATCGAAAAAAATTATCAGCAAACACACAGAATTTCGATATGCAATCGCGAACTTAATTCAATTTGAATTTTACACTCTCAGATTATTTGTAAGATGCGAAATGAAGTAAGCTGATAAACCATCTAGGGTGTCATACCTTCTTAGGGCCGGTATCACAGTCTCCGATTAACGTGATCCTCCGATTAAACTCACTCTGCATCTCTTTCTAACTGTCTCCATAGAAAGAGACGAAGAGTGAGTTTAATCGGAGGATCACATTAATCGGAGACTGTGATATCGGCCCTTAGACGATTAACGTTTGCCCTTTGAGTGACAGCGTAACTGCGCCGTGTGCGTTGCATCGGATGCCGGGCGATCCCGTCGGAAGTAGACATGTAGACATGAATGAATTGGATGTGCTACCGACGGAAGCATATATGTATAAGCCTGTGTAGCGATAATGACGATTTTATAACGTGCGATGACTTGTTTCATCTAGTCATCGCACGATATAAATTCGTAATTATTGCTACTTTGGTGTGGCCTTTTAATTCTGCCCTGACTGGAAATGAAACGCGAGAAAGTCTGCCACCTGTT